GGATGATGTTGACATAAGTCTGAAAATCGTTGTTATGCTAAATATCTTAGGGTCGAACCATCTAGGCCATGTAGAAACATATTTTCTCTTCGTTTCTTGATAACTCCCATTAGGGAAAATGCATATCTTCGTTTTTTCCTATAAGCGGCTGCTCTCTCTTCATAAGGTAGACAGTGTGATGAATAGCTTTCGCCTTGCATTTCTTGGGAATCAGTGAAGATTGTCACCTTCAATCCTTCCATCACCTGACGCTCTTTCATTTCATTTATTGATTTTATCAAAGTCATGCGAGCAATATGTGGACAAATCTGTGGTGGGACGATTGTCGGTGTTAGTAGCAGTTGTAGTAGGTTTTTCCCACATGCAGCTGCATGGTCATTTTCATATGTATGACGACAGTTTGAGTGCGTTTCGCCGTTTCTACAAAACGTATAGCGGTTTCTACCTTTGCTACGAGGTAGTTGGCATTAAATTTTAACATTATTACATTTTTGCGGAGATTATGCCCAGAAGTAGCTGCGGACATTTCATTAGAATGATTGCATTAATTCTAATATCAGCCTTTTAACAGGGTCCATGGTTCAGGTTCATATGGCAGAACGGAGATAGCCAGCGTTGGATTTAATGACGTTGGACCTTTAAAGAAAATCGTTGTTACTGCCAGACACGATAATCCCTCTCCCTAAATTTATTTACGTTTTTATGGTCTGGAAGTGTCTACTTGGGAATGCTACTGATGCATATATTATTAAACTTAATGGATAAAATTATATCATAATCACAGTGAAATCGTATAAGCCAAGCCATTTTGTTCGTTTCAAAACCTGTTATCACCTTCTCAGGTGAAGCATGACGACTGAGACGTTTTTCTGAGACATCGTTTCAATTTCTAGAAATCAGTTTAATATGCTGCACTTTGCACTGAAGCGGTAAGCTAAGACCAGTGACTTCTCCATTTCCATTGCAACTGTACAGTTCTGACGATTCATTCATAGATCCGTCGTTTGCCATTTAACGGTGTTACCGTTTTTGTTGACAGCTCAGCTCCGGCATCAGCTCACCGTTACTGCGCATTCAACAGGCGAAGAGCAAGGATTTTGGCTGGGTTTCGCACTTCTATTCAAAACACCTGCTTGGTTTCGTGCGGCATGTCCTGCAGATTATCCCACAGACCGTCTTCTCTTTGATGGAACAAATAATCAAGTTGCAGGCCACCGGTTTCAAGGAAGTTCCAACACACGTACCAAAGGACCATTTACGAGATTATGCCCAAGATGAGGAGCGTTTTAAGGTAACAGTTTCTTGGTTTAATAGATTATTGCATTTGCTAGTCTTTGCTTGAGTGTAGAAAATGAATGAATGCTACAAATGGTACCTTATCTGAGAATGTTTAGTTAGTCTTAAATTTTTCTACTTTTCTGCATCGTGATTTGTCTGTTGACAATGATAATGAGCCGTATTTTTAATAAAGTAGCCAGATATATAACGTGACATTTCTGAGTTTAGGGCCTTCCTCGAAAGTGCAGATGCCTTGCTGATTCTTGGTTTAGGGCACAAAACAACACATGTGTTGTCAATTTATTACTAATGATATATATTGAAATTTTACTATGAACTGTA